AGAATTGAGTAGTAGAATATAACGCATATCATGACTAATTTTTTCTAAAAAATATGCATATTTGTATATATCTAGAAAATATACTGAGGGACACCCAGCTAAATAAAATCAAGAAATTAACAAGGCTACTAAAACATAAAAAGATATGACTTGGGAGATAGTAGATGTGAACTTTGACTTCTTATTTTGCACCTTTTTACTTTCAATTTTTCACATTAACATGTTTTCATTCTGTAACTTGATAAATATGTATTTAATGTGTGCTTTTTAAGACCTTAGAAGTTTAACTAAAATAGCAAGAGTTTTTTTTTTTTATAATAGGAGTATGAAAGGTATGCTTTTACCTCCTTTCTATTTTCCTTTTTTATTTCTAGTGAGCATTTTCAGTTTTATTGTTTCACTAGAAAAGTATACCATTCTTTAAAGAACACTTAAGAAAAGCATTCAAGGAAAGAAAAGGTGTCAGGGATAAAGAAGGGCATCACATAATGATAAAGGAGTCAATTCTCCAAGAAGATATAACAATCTTTGACATGTATGCCCCAAATAAGAAGGCCAGACTGTGCGAGGCAAAAACTGCAGAGATAAACAAATGAATTACTATCACAGTTGGAAACTTCAACACTCCTCTATCAGAAATAGACAGATCCAACAGGCAGTAAGGAAATAGTTGAACTCAACAACACCATCAATCAACTAGGTGTAATTGACATCGATAAATTCCTTTATCCAACCACAGGAGAATGCACATTTTTCTCAAACTCACATGGACCATTCAAGAAGATGGATTATATTCTGGGCCATAAAACCCATCTTAATAAATTTTAAAGGATAGAAATCATACAGTGTCTGCTCTCAGACACAGTGGAATTAAGCTAGAAACCAATAACTGAGAGATAACTGGAGAACCCCAAAATATATGCAGATTAAGTGACATACTTACAAATGACACACAGGACAAATATGAAAGCTCCAGAGGAAAAAAAAAATATTTTTCTACTACATGAAAATAAAAAGACAATTTATCAAGGTTTAAACTATTTAAACTTTAAGTATAGCGAAAGCTGTGATCAGGGGTAAATTTATAGCATTTACTGCATGTATTTAAAAAGGAGAAAGGTTTAAAATCAATGATCTAAGTTTCCATTTTAAGAAACTAGAAAAAAAAGCAAATTAAATCCAAAGTAATCAAAAGAAAAAATTAAAGCATAATATAACATTTTTGTCAACAATATTTCAATAAAATAGAATTCTTTCATAAATCAGTAAAATTGAAAACAGAATAAAACAACAGAAAAAACTGATGAAACATTTGGTTCTTTGAATAGATCAGTAAATCAATAAGCCTCTAGTCAGCCTACTAAGAAAAATAGACAGAAGACACAAATTATCAATATCCGAAATGAAAGAGGGGACTATGCTGTAACTAAAAGGTTAATAAAAGAATACTATGGTTAACTCTATGCTCACATTTGATAGCCCACATGAAATGGGCAAATTTCTTTAAAGACACAGTCTGCCAAAACTCACATACAAACAGTAGACAACTTGAATAGATGTATATCTTTTAAATAAACTGAATCATTAACTAATAACTTTCCCAAACAGAAAGCATGTGGCTCTGATGGGTACATTGATGGTTTCTACCTACCTTTCTACATTTAAGGAAGAAATTGTGCCAATTTTCTATAATCTTTGTCAGAGTATAGAAGTAGAGGGGAAACTTCCTAACTCATTCTATGAAGCCAGCACTATTCCAAAATCATACAAAGGCACTCCAAGAAAAACAAACAAACAAACCAAAACTACAGGCTAATATCTTTCATAAACATATATGAAAAATTTTTCAACAAAACATAGGAAATAGAACCCAACGATGTATAAAAAACAATTATCCATCAGAGCCAATTGGGATCTATCCTAAATATGCAGGGCTGGTTCAACATTTGAAGATCAATTAATGTGATCTATGACATCAACAGGCAGAAAAGGAAAAATCATATGATCATACTAATAGATGCATAAAAAGCATTGAGAAAATCTAAAACCTATTCATGATAAAAACTCTAAGTAAAGTAGGACTAAAGGGGAACTTCCTCAACATGATACAGAATATTAACAAAACACCTACAGCTAACATACTTAATGGTGAGAAACTAGATGCTTAGTAGGGAAGCACCTGTTCACTGCTCCTCTTCAACAAGAAGTCCTAACAGTCCTAGCAAATACAATATTAGTATAAAAAGAAAAAAAAAGGTACTTAGATAGGGGAGGAATAAATAAAACTATTTTGTTTGCAGATGTCATAATCACCATGTAAAAATCTCAAACAAATCAACAATAACAACAATTACAAATCCTGGGACTAATAAGCAACTACAACAGGGCTTTTAAGATAAAAGGTTAATATAAAAAGCCCATTGCTTTCTTTCAGCAATGAACAGGGGAATTTGAAATTAAAAATACAATACCATTTACATTAGCACCACAAATATCTAACCACTTAGGTATAAGCCCAAGAAACCACATACAAGATCTATATGAGGACCATTGCACAATTGTATTTAATGAGATCAAAGAAGACGTAAAGAAGTGGGGGAAATATTTCATGTTCATGGATAGGAAGACTCAATATTTTCCAGATGCCAGTTCTTCTCAGCTTGACCTACAGATTTAATGCAGTGTCAATCACAATTTCAGCCAGTTACTTTGTGGATATTGACAAAGTTTATCTGGAGAAAAAAAAAAAAAAAGACCCTGGATATCCAACACGATATTGAAGGAGCAGAATAAACTTGAAGGACTGACACTACTAGACTTCAAGATTTACTATAAAGCTACAATAGTGGTATTAGTGAATAAATGGACAAGTAGATATATGCAACAGAATGGTGAGCCTAGAAATAGACCCACATAAATATCAACTTGATTTATGAAAGTCAAGGGTCAAACAATGGAACAAAAACAATTTTATAAACATGTGGTGTTGGAATATTGGACATCTACATGCAAAAAATGTTACTACATATACACACAGACCTTACATCCTTCTTAAAAATTAGTCAAAAATGGATCATGGACCTAAATGTAAAATGTAAAACTATATAACTCTTAAAAGATAACATAGAGGAAAACTTATATGACCTTGGGTATGGTGATGCTTTTCTTTTTTTTAATGTTTATTTATTTTTGAGACAGAGAGAGCACAAGCATGGGAGTGGCAGAGAGAGAGATAGGGAGACAGAATCCAAAGCAGACTCCAGGCTCTGACCTGTCAGCACAGAGCCCGATGCAGGCCTTGAACTCAGGAACAACGAGATCATGACTTGAGCCAAAGTCAGACACTTAACTGACTGAGCCACCCAGGTGCCCCTGGTGATATTTTTTAAACTGAAACATCAAAAGCACAGTCCATTAAAAAATAATTCATGAGCTAGACATGGTTAAAATTAAAAACTTCCACTGTGTGAAAGACAATGTCAAAGGAAATGATAAAACAAGCAACAAACTGAGAGAAAATATTCACAAAAGACACATCTGGTAAAGAACTATTATTCCAAAATATACAAAGAACTCTTAAAACCATAAGAAAACAAACAACTCAATTTAAAAAAATGGGCCAAAGATCTTAACAGACATCTCACTAAACAAGATAGGTAGATGGCAAATAAGCACAAGAAAAGATGCTCTACTTCATACATCATCAGGAATATGCAAATAAAAAAATGAGCTACCACTAGACACCTATTAGAATGGCCAATATCCAGAACATTGACAACAGTAAGTGATGTTGAGGAATTGGACAAGAGGAACTCTCATTTTTTGCTGGTGGGAATGCAAAATGGCATAGCCATTTGGGACGACATTATGAAGGCTTCTTAGAAAAATGAATATACTCTTAGCATATGATCCAGCAATCTACTCCTTGGTATTTACTCAAAAAGTTGAAAACTTCTGTCCACGCACAATCCTGCACTAAGATATTTAAAGCAGCTTTATTTATAATCGTCAAAACTTGGAAGCAACAGAGATGTCCTTCTGCAGGTGAATGAATAAACAAACTGTGGTACATGTGAACGATGGAATATTGTTCGGCACTAAAATGAAATTATCTATAAAGCCAAAAAGACATGGTGGAACCTTAAAGTGCATACTACTCAGTGAAAGGTGCCAAGTCTGAAAGGCTGCAAGCTGTACAATCCCACTATATGACATTCTGGAAAAGGTAAAATTATGGAGACAGTAAAAAGATCAGTGGTTGCCAAGAGCTGAGGATGGCAGAGAGATGTACAGGCAGAACTCATAGGATTTTTAGGGCAGTAAAAATACTTTGCATGATACCAGAGGGTGGATACGTGTTACATTTGCCCTGACCCACATAATGTACAACATCAAGAGTAAACGCAAATGTAAGCTATGGACGATTGATGATAATAAGGAGTCTATGTAGGTTCATCAGTTGTAACAAATGCACCACTTTGGTGGGAGATGTTGGTAATGGGAAATAGTGTATGGGGGCAAGAGCACTATGGGACATCTCTGTACCTTCCTCTCAATTTTACTATGATCCTAAAACTGCCCTCCAAAATTAAAGCCTGAAATAAAAATAAAAGCATTAAAAAAAAAACAAAAAAACAAATGATTGAGAAGCAAATCTTTCATTCCAATATTGAAACCAAGACAACAGCTTGGCACTCTTAACATTTTTTCTTTTCATAGGGTTTTTATACTTGATATAGGTATAATTATTCCTTTTTCAATTCTTAAAACTGTAAAAATAGTTATGCCTTTTGAAAAATATTTAAATTTACGGAAATGTATGAGTAAAAAAGGAATACATATTTAAGTGGGACTGTACATATGTATTTCTTTTACATTAGGGAGAAAATAGCTACACGTTTTATAAAGCTGTGTGCTATCTGCTTCCCATACTAAAACATACGAGATAACATCTTTTCCAGCATATTATACCACACAACTAGTGTTGTTAAAGCACCTACCTCCTTTTCCAACATCAGGCCTTCCGCCCTGAGGTTCTTTTCAAATGTGTTTCTTTTGTCATATTGTATATTTGACTTTCTATACACCAGGATGTAGTCAATCCGTTTTTTGCCATCTTTGAATAGAAGTCCACTGGATGCTATGTAATTCATGTCATTCTGCAAATAAAGCAATGATTGTTAATAGTGTAGGCTGGACAAGCACACCGTTTTGGTTTCAGTCACTTTGCTTTGGATACTGGCATTCCAATAGCAAAAATGTGTTTCTACATTCCAGTTATGAGACATGAAAAGTTGATTAAAGAAAGTCCATAGTCTATAATAGGAGACAAGCTAGCAGGTGAGGTTCCAGAATTTGAAATTAGGCAGTCTGATACCAAACCTTGGGTTCTCTGATGCTGGCATCGAAATGCATATAGTAAATTTTATTTAGCAAGATCCTGTAAAAATAATATCAGCTAGCGTATGCTGAGTATATATTCAACATCAGGTTCAGGCGTAAGTGCCTTATATGTTTGATCTTATTTAACACATATAACTCCCATTGCAAAAATTAAGACACTAAGGCTTAACATAAGTACCGAAGCCAACATAATTTTCCATATTAAATAATACTCAGAATAGATATAATTTTCCAAAGCTCTGTTCAACAACTCTAAACCAAACAATAATTCCTGAGCTGCTTGCTCCAAGATACTTGTCCAGAGGATATAAAACTGTGATCCAACTAAGACAGCTTACTTATCGAGCTTAATCACTTGCTCATCAAGACTGCTCTATGGCCCTCACCTTGCTGTATCCATCCACCTGAGCTATTTTTTATAGACTGGCAATTGCCCACCAAATTCCTGCCTTGCAAGATGTACCTTGGGTGATAGTCGAGACACCTGTGTGATCCTCCACATTATAAATTATAGCATCTAACTGCTCTCAAGATGCTTCAAGTTCTTCCACTCTTATCCTACTTTCCCCAGTCAACTTTTCCTTAGCACTTACTCACTCCTAATATGTTATATGACACAAAACCATCCATTAATTATCTTTTGTTTACCATCTGCCTTATTAAGGACTGTTTACTGCTTTGTCTCTGATTATTCCAGACATCTCGTCACAAGTCATATACATAGTGGGCATCAATAAATATTTGTGGCAAGAAGAAAGGAAGGCAACATCCATAATCCTGTGTGCCCAGGTAAGGCTGATCTCAAGAACAGGAAGCCAAGAAGGGATCATGATGACATTTCTCCTCCTCTTGCCTCCAGTATTTACAGCAAATCACATTAAAATACATTAAGATAAACAATCACAAAACGACAGCAGAACTGAACAGTCATGTTGTCCCCTTTGTTTTACATCTATGACCCCACTGCCCCCAGACATCTTCATAGTAATTTCAACAAGGACTGAGCTAAAATAAAAGCATATACAAATTTCCTTCTTCATTTTCTTTTCGTTTAAAGTATATCATCCTCTCTGGTTTATTATTTAATTTTTTTAATGTTTATTTATTTTGAGAGAGAGAGATAGACAGCAGGGAAGGAGCAGAGAGGGAGGGAGAGAGTGAGCATCCCAAACAGGCTCTGCACAGAGCCTGATTCGAAACTTGAACTCACGAATTGTGAGATCATGACCTGAGCCAAAATAAAGAGTCAGACGTTTAACTGACCCAGCCACCCAGGTGGCCCTCCAGTTCATTATTAAGTGTCTTCTGTGTTTTATGGTATTAATAACATATTTAATACTAAGCGAAGGCAAGAGTCCTTCAGTGAGAAAACCTAGAAGTAAATGATGGGTTGGTAGGAAAAGTATGAGGAGATAAGACACTATTTGATCAATTTTATGTGCTTTTCATATTTTAAGAGCAGCATAGACTGAAAGTGGAACTCTGACAGGTATTGTTCCCCATTGTTCGAAGTCTAAGCAAAATAAATGCTAAACTCTCACAGAGAAACAGCTGCTTTGCCATTAAAAAATTGCCATTTTATTTTACAATAAGTGACCTTAGGCATTACTCAAAACATTTTTTGTTTCTGAGTAAATGTGTTCACAATCAAACTATATTAACTAGAATTCTAATTTATCTAATTATTCTATGAATTCTAAATTATTAGAAGAGTTTTACCAGGGAAAATGAAAAATTGTTATCAAAATGATAATACAGAAGCATAGCAAGATTTGGAAATATCTCTCGAATTATGTTTACAAAAACATTGTATAAGCTCTATATAATTTTAAGGCTGTGAGTTTATATTTTCTTTTACTACATATATGGCACCCATTAACCAAGATGCTGATTAACCCATGTTCAAACCTGTCGCTTAAATGCAGAACTGACAGGAAATTTATTACATATCATTGTGTCTGGTCACCAAAAGAACAACTTCTTTAATTGTCTGATAACATAAGGGTTGTTTGAACATGAAATCAAGACTCCTCTCTTAAGTTATCTGGAATAGTGAAATGCTTTCTTTCCAATTACGATGCAGAATGTATTCAATTTAAAAACAGAGTTTTCATGTTTATTATTCCCAGAAGACAGAATAAAACTATTTTTGCTCAGAGAAGCTGGGATGCTGATCATCCATCAAGTACCTTATCTTACAACAGTGCTGAAAACAGCTTAATTATGTAATGCATTGCAAGCCATGAAGCTCAGGTACTTTCAGCAAAGCTGGTCTAAAGAAGATCTCGAAAATATGCATGTTATGACCCATGTAGAGAAAGAACCCTTTGCAAAGGTTTAAGACCATTTGCAAAACAGCAATAAAAGTCTACCTATATGCATGAAAACACATTTTGAGTATCTTTCAAATAAAATTATGGCAGTAACTGCTTGTTTGTGACGTGCATATTTTTTCAGCATTTATTCTTTACAATCTAACAAGCATTTAGTGAACACCTACTGTGTGCTACGTACTGTGTTAAACTTGGAAAAAATAAGAGGACACAAAAGACTTTTAGGGATTTTACCTATCTATGGAGTAGGAGGCATATAGATGTTTAGTTGCAATGTTATCTAATATGTATAGGGATAGAGGCCTCAGCTACGGAATTGAAGAATGACCTGGTGTACCAGAGGAAGACTGATCAACAGGTGCCAGGAGCCACTGAGTCATGATCTTGGGGAGTTTACCAGCCTCTGTCAGGCAGATATAAAATTAGGTCAGGTCATTAATCTGTAAGTGACTGCTGACTGATTACATGTTAACTATATATTTGAGTTAGTAAAATGCAGTATGACACACTGGTTAAGGTACTGATTTCTGCATAAGACTGGTGTTTTTAATTAACTGTGTTCTTAGACATGTACTTAACCTCACTGCTCAGCTTTAAGTCCCACAGCTTTTCAGTGAATATAATATTATCAACATGTAAGATTATTGTTGTGACTAAATGAGATAATGCACAGACAGCAGTCTCAACGTTGTCTGACCTTTTGAGATTAAAAAAATCAGCTATTATCACAAAAAATAAGATAAAATATGTATGCTTCCTCTCTTTCTTTCTCTCAAAATAAATTAAGATTAAAAAAAAAACAATGAAGTTTATTTATGCTTTCTACTAACAATGGGTATTTGGACTATTTATTTCCAGTCTTGCCTATTTTTAATAAGCATTCATGTGTAAATCTTGCAATATATGTGTGCATACATTTCTATCAGTATTCACCTAGGAGAAAACTGCTAATTCCCAGAAGTTTGCTTTCAACCTTAGCAGCATGCCAATCTTAACTCAGAATGAAGTCTGTTGTATACAGGCTCTAATTCAATTTCTTGTGTCTTAAAAAACTTTTTTTTTTTAATCTTTATTTATTTTTGAGAGAGAGAGAGAGAGAGAGAGAGAGACAGAGTGCAAGTGGAGGAGGAACAGAGAGAGAGAGGGAGACACAGAATTCGACGTGGGCTCCAGGCTCTGAGCTGTCAGCACAGAGACGGACTCAGGGCTCCCACTCATGAATCGTGAGACCCTGACCTGAGCTGAAGTCAGATGCCGAACCAACTGAGCTACCCAGGCATCCTTAATTTCTGGTGTCTTTTAAGATTTTAAAGAAACATGTCTTTTAAGAAACATGTTTCTGTACAGATGGACTTTTTTTGGTTACAGAGTCCTGGTCTATCTTTAAAAACTGACTTATTTTGCTATACTCTCTGGCATGAAAGAGTGCAGTATGCATGGGGACCAGTACCAGCTCCCACTTGTAATAGTCTTTTTATCCAAATTCAGCTATTCAGAATGCAATCAATTATTGCAATGTCCTTTTACTGGTGACTTCTGTTTTTGTTTGGATTGAGAGAAGGGTGGTGGATGCTTAGTTTCCTTGGCTGTGTGGCTCCTGTAGTCCCATGTTGAGGACCAATGATGGGCCAGGTTAGCTCAACTCTCCACTGTCATTTGGGGGGCCGTCAGGCTGGCTTCAGTTTTTCAGGCCAAGTGTCTGTGCTTCATACTTGTGTTTAATCTTTTCCTACCAAATCTTCAAATAGTGAAATGTTTTCATTAGGTTTCAACAGTAGTTTTTGTTTTTGCATTTCTGTACCCATTTTTGGCAATCATTGATGGGAAATTGGGAAATGACTGTCCAGATATCGATAGTCTGATGCCGTATTTTACTCAGAAGTTCTGGCTTTACCCTCCTTAATTAGAGAAAAATCCAAACAGCCTCAGTATGTAACTACAATTTATTTCAGAGTTAAAGCTATTGCTCACAATAGCTCTTGAGGTCTACCCTACCTATTATACAGAAAAGAAAAGATTTTAATATTTTTTTTCATTTCAAGACAAATGAGAAAAAGTTTTGTCAAGAAAGTCACATATTTACAACAATGAAAGCAATCTCTGTTAAAATAAACTAATTGTAGGTAGCACTCTAGGTCAGAAAAACTCCTGCACGTGAGTACAAATTTACTTAGTGCTGCTGAATTTATACAAATTCTGGCTTTTCTGTCATAGAAATTTTCCATTTTAAAATAATTTTAACAAGGGAAGAATGTTTTCATTTTCTAAATGTCCTTTGATATAAGAAGTATATTAAACATATACGTTTTAATGCACCTGGCTTAACTTAAAATATGTCAGAAATGTAATTACTATGCAAATTTTCCTATGATTTTCCAAATCGTCTTTAATTATGAGTCATAGGAATAAACAAAAAAAATCAG